AAATTAGGTCCTGGGCATTATAGTGTAATGGTTCTTTGTATAATGATCTATAGATCAAACTTGTATCATTTTGCATTAATTAGTCATGGTCTTGAGGTCACGTTTTGCTTATGACAATTCTCCCTGACTCAATTTTTTACGTCCCGTAAAAATTCATTACGTAGGTCTTCAGATCTTCGAGGGCACCTGGTCATATTTCCTTCCTTATAGGCGCAGTAAGTTACTAAAAGATTTTTTTTTTTTTTTCTAATCTAAAACAAACTAAAACAAAAACTAATCTGAGACAAAAACTAAAATCAAACAAATACAAAAAAAAACAAAAAGGGAACAGCAAAAATAATACAACAAAAAACATGTCCACGCCTAATATGAAGGGAATCAACAGAATTACCCTTGTCATATGCCCCTTAATCCCACGTACAACTGTTATGCGTGTCCGCAAACAATTTCAAAGTAAAAAAAATTTTTTTTTTTATTTTTTTTGTTTCATTATGTAAGTCAAATTAAATTTTTCTTACAGGTTCCTCTAGAGTCAAAAATAAGGGTGCAAAGGTCACGTGTTATTAGTTTTCGTGAGGCCATATTCAGGTTTGTTATTCTTCCTTTGAGTACTGTGTCGTCTTTTAACTTTTCATAATCTTCTTCCTTTGGTCTTTCCTTTTTGTGCTTACTAATCATCCACTTAAAATCATCAATACTCTTACTACAGATTTTGCTATTCTTCTCAAGAATGTTTCCATCTTTATAACAACTGCTGGAATCTAATTGCCTGTTTGAAATGCCATCATCAGCAGATTTTTGATATAGAATGCATGCATTATATTTTTTGAAGCAAATTCTACTTTGATAACAAGGTTCAAATGTAAGTTCCATGTCAGCAGGTAGGGCAGGTTCTTCAGAATCAGTTAGGTATGGGCTTTTTATCATTTTCTGGTTACCTTTATTCATTCCTTTATACTCACTAACCCTTTCATTCCAGGATTCGCAAGCTTTGTCAAGACCTTCAGCAGATTTCATTTCGGTGGGCTTTTCTATTGCATACGTAATCTTCTAGAATTTGATAACTTTCTTTAACCATTTGTTGCATTCTCGACACAAGGCTTCATTTTCCAGAGACCTTTCGGGCAGAGAACTATTCACTTTCTCATTGCTATCATTGTCACCAACTAACGTTTCTCAATCACTTTCGTCATCAGTTTTGTCGTTGACGTTTTCAAGCCTTATAGGTAAATTTTGTACTTCTTTTTCCTTTTTCTGATTCAATTCATGTGATTCTGACTTACTAATAGCATCTACTTCAATCTTTTTAGCTTCATTTTTTTTCTCATAGACGGGTTCAATCAGATATGTTCTATTAGCATTACCTATATCTGTGGGCTTTTGGTAATAAACGGACATATCGTAATCATTCTTTTTGATACCAATTTCGTTTTGGTAGCAGGGCCCAATATTATTTCCTTTGTTGGGTTGATCTGTACTAGCAGATTCTTGGAGGTAATCAAATGTCTTAAGTTTATCCAGTTCAATTCTATTGGCCAGTGGGTCTGTTTGATCTTTTTCAGTATCGATTCTATTTTGGCGGCAATAACCAAGGTTGCTTTTTCTATTGGCACGTCCTATTTCTGCTAGTTTTTGATAAAGAGTGAACTCCTTAGGTTCATTCTTTTTAATTTTGGTTTTCTCATTTTTTTCAATACCAGTCTCATTTTGATAACAGTATCTGCAGTTGGCAGGTTTGGATTCTTCAGGTCCTTTTGGTTTGGGCATCCAGGTTTCTAGCATTTTTGTATAACTGTTGATTAGACTTTCTAGAGGAATTTCAGCATCAGCGTTACTGACCTTGGCTGCCATTTCCAGAGCGAGATATAGGTTAATTATTTTTGTAGCTGGGTCCTTTTTATACTGTGATAGTGGTGTATGAACCTTCGGGCTAGGAGCTACTAAGATTATTAGAGATGCAAGAGGTGGGCTTTTTCTTTTATCCTTTTCACAGTTGGGGCCACTTTCAGACGTAAGACTACTGGAGGCACATTGGAAGGGTGCTTTCTTTCGGTGGGTGGAACCAGTTGAATATACGGGAGCAGATATATAATCTCTTCCTTTTTGTTTTTATTATTCGGAATACTATTTAAGCTAACATACTCTAATACTTCTAAAAATAATTCTAGGGCTTGTGGATCATTAAAATTACAGTAGCTGATAGATTTGTCGATGATTTCTTGGACTTCTGTGGCTTGTTCTTCAGAAAGTGCGATGAGCAACTCTATACATTCCAACTGCATTTTTATTATTTCTGGGCACATACTAATAGGATGTCCTTTTATGCTACAATAGGAGCATCATATTGCTAGTTGGTGGCTTCTCCAGCTTTGTATATTATTTAGGCAGTTCCTTGGTACTTGATAACATCAGTTTACTATCATTTGGGCTGTGAATAGTCATTGGTTTAAATTAAATGTGGCTGGCTGGTTGATTTCATATATATATATATATTTTTTTTGATCTCCTCTTGGTGTTGTACTAATTATTTTTTTTTTTTAATTTTAGGTTTGACAACCAGTCTTATATCTGACAGCAATTACAACTTGTGAGAGAGTGTGAGAAATTGTAATATGATGGTAGGTTTTTGACAAAAAAAAAACTAATTCGGACTCAGTATGTTGGTCCTAAAAACTTCTCAAAAAAAACAATTCAATTCTCAAAAAAAAAACTATCGCAAAGTAAACACAAGTAGGCACAGTTCATCAGTCCACAAAAGAAATTCTACATAAAACCAATTAAAACTAGGTACATTGGTTCTAAAATAAAACATTTCAACAAAAAAAAAAATTCAATTTTCGTCAAAAAAAAAAAAACTAATGTTGAAATTATCATGGTACATAAATACAAGTAGACACAGTTCGTCAGTCCACAAAAAGAAATTTCATACAAAATCAATTCAGACTAGGTACATTAGTCCTCAAAAAAAAAAACTAACAAACAAATACTCAAATCAACAAAAGAAAGATAAAAAAAACAATCAAATTTGTATTGGGAGTAGCGTCATTATGATTCCAATTTCATATCTCACAACTAGAAATAGCCGAATTCGTTAGATCTCAAAGTCTTGGGGCTTCAAGATGGTGTTGTTCTATTTTATAGTCCAGCTATTTGGAGTTTTACGATCTCATGGTCTTTTGCATTTAATCTCACAGTCACCACCAAATTGTCATGGGCCAAATGAACAAACCCACACACACAAAACAAAGTGGTATCAAGGCTTTACTCAACAGGTAGAGGCAGAATCGACTTGGCAAGGTCTAAGGCGATAGTTGAATATTTTTTAACTAGGGTGATTTGGGTAAACTTAAAGAGTATTATATTTTATTAACACTAAGGGCTTTATTTATTTATTATATCAGGGGATAATTACACATGGTCAATAAAATATGGTAATAATTAATTAATGCTGTCCTTTATGCTTTTACAAGAATGATTCGACCACTTATTTATAACAAAACTACAGGTCAAGAAGTCAAGAAGAGAACATGTTCGAAGATTCTAATTAATTCTCATCATCTTTTTTTATTATACTGCCATTGAACTTTAGCCAAACAACTATTCTAGTCTAATGTCTTACTCCTTACTCGCAGCTATTCTTATTGAAATGTTTGACAGAATGGAAAAAGAAGGCAAGTCAAATGAAGGCTTCTATGCTTTAATAGTTCTTTACCTGTTAATTTTATTAATTCATTCATTGACTCTACCATTGATTCATGTACTTTTTCTTCTTCACAGCTACACCTTACCTGACAAGATAATATTGCCTTGACAGATGTCATACCAAATCGGGTAAGTATCTTTTTCTTCAATAGGATCATTGATGGGGGCTTGGTTTTTATAAGATCTTTATTAATGCTTTTATATATAGGGTCTGGTTTGGAGCAGGTTTGCTTGTATATGATTATCATTTGAAAATCAGGTCCCAGACATTATAGTGTAATAGTTCTTTGTATAATAATTCATAGATCAAACGTGCATCAGTTCACATTAATTAGTCACAGTCTTCAGGTCACATTTTGCCTATGACAATATAAAACACATTGCATGATGCGATGAATAAATTAATTCATTTATTAATTTTAATTATAAATTTTATTAAAATTAAATTATCAATAATAGATAAATGTTATTTAAATTAAAATTTTTATTAATAAGTATTATATAATCTTATTTCTAAATATTATATTAAAAAAATAAATGTAATTTTATTAATTTTTATAGTAATATAATTAAAAAATTTTTAAAATTAGAATTAGATAGTTATTATTTATAACTTTTATTAAAAATTTAAAAATATTTATTTAATAAAAAATTTTTTAAATCATAGTTAAAAATTATAGAGCTTATATAAATTACTAAAAATAGTAATAATTATAAAATAAAGCTTATAATATAAGATATATTTTTATTATATAACTAATAATAATTTTTTAACTATTATAAAGCTCTAAACCTCTTTTATATAATTAAACTTTAGTTTATAAAATTATTTAATTATTTTAAAATTAAAATATTTTTTAAATAGTATACTACTGATAGTATACTAATGATTTATAAAAATTAATTTAAAATATAATTTTTTAATAATTTTATTAATAATATAAAAAAATTGAATCAAATTATATTTATATATTTATTAAATATTTGTATATAAAAAATTTTTAGATAAATAATTATAAAAATTTAAACTATTTTTCAATTATATTACTAGTAATATAGAAGATAAAATTTTATCTATTAAATATTATTACAAATTAAAATAAAATCAGATTAAAGTAAAATTAGAAATCTTTTTTGCTTATTCTTAAAGCTTATAAAATCTATATATACTCTTTTATTAATAATTCTAACCCTAAATCTAATTTTTAATACTAAAAAAACTTTAAAAAATATTTTTAAAAAATTTTAAATTTTTTTAAAAAATAAAAAAAAATTGGTTTAATCTGATTTTATTTTAATCTGTCACAAATATTAATTCTAATTAAATTAAAAATAAAAAATTTTTAATTTTTTATATTAAATCTTAAAAATTTAAAATTATAATAATTTCAAATATTTATAATTTCAAATTTTAAACTTGTTTAAAAATTTTAACTAATAATTTAAATAAAACTAATAAATACTTATATTTTTTTTTTTAAAAAGGGCAAAGTTGTCATCGTGTAGCCAAAACTCTGAATCTAACTGGTTTATTGTGAACTAATTATATATATATATTCCTTAAATTGTAACACAAGCAAATTTGTTTGCGTTTATTTTTTTAAACTCTAATTTTTTAATAAAATCTTAAATATTAATTTTAACAATATATTTTCTAAGTAAAA